TATATATGTAAAACTTTTGTAAGGGAGGAGAAGGTCTTCTGGAAACTGCCCTGAGACGCTGGAAATGTGTAGGAAGCAAATCCTGTGGCAGAGGGATCAAAACACTACATACCACTTGAACCCAGATTTCAAAAATAAACTGGGATACCAGAGGAACCCCAAGACAGTGGCCAAGTGAAAGAAATCCCATCAGAGTCTCCAACACTGGTCCCATGAGATGCTGTCCCTAAGTGGTGGGAATGTCATGTGGCAGCCTTTGGGGACTGGCATGTTAAAATATTTCAGAGAGACCTGTTTCATCTTGTGTTTCAGATGGCTTAGTTTTACAAAACAAGGCTCTTTGCATTTGGGTTAACCTAAGACTTCAAATTTAGGGTTGGGACCAAGGATGTGAAGTGAATTCCACCTGTCACAGAAATTCAGGATTGATCAGATTTCAGGGGCACTTAAATCCTTCTCCAACTATGACTGCCTAAAGTCTGTCACTGCTTACAATAAATACTTTTTCCATTACCATGACACGCTGCTATTCACTTCACTTTCAAGAAGTCTGAAAATACTTTGCTTATCCTTTCCTGTAACAATGCATTGTATACAGGTAACTGGATGTCGTGAGATTGAGTACAAAAATCTTTAGGTGGCTACTGGCCCACAATTGTGTTAGGACAAGCATCTGTTAAGTCAATGGACAAATATTTCCCAAAAAAATTCCCTTATGGCACCTACCTTCTGGGGGTGGCTGAATATATGGGCATTTCTGTGCTTCTAAGAGCTCGTTATAACCATAGTCAGTGATCTTCAGCACAAACCGGCCATCCACAACGCAGTTACGAGACTTGAGACGTCCATGGGCAAAATCTCGGTGATGCAAATACCTAATTCCCTATGAAACACAGAAGAGATTGAGGCTGTTCCTTAAGAATTATCCTATCTGTCAGCATTCAGTGACACGAAGCCAAATTGTCACCTTGGATGGCATCAAATACAGCATCGACTCTATGTCAAATGCAGTGCCGATCAGGCCAAGAAACTGTGGGAAAAGTTCAGAAATAGATTAGGAACAGGAATTGGGCTATCTGCACCTGAAAGTAATACTGGAAAGGACTGGCAGCTTTAGGAACAGTCAGATGCCTCCCTCTGTAGCCCTAGGACTCATTGCACTCAGAAGTTGTACTTTTAGACACGATTGAGAAGGTGGACACAAGTGGTACTCAATGGTTATGCCAAGGGAAGCCATTAAGAGCCGGATGCCTTTACCCAGCTCCTTCAAGGAGGGTCAGAAGGTGGATCATGGGCTGTAAGAATGGTTCTGGCAGCCTACCCTCTGTAGACCATCTGCCCCAGGTTGGTAGTTCACCATTAGGGGATGAAAACACATGGGACATGAAAACACTCTTCTAAAGTGACCAAAAGTGTAGCCATCCTGTGACAGGAGATGTCTACGGTTTGGTTTATGCCGGATGCATTTCTGATTTATGACAAGAAAGGACCTTTGGAAAGTATGTTGTCACCAAATTAATTGTTCTAGGTGATCAGTTCTAGCCTGATGTGTAGTTTTAACCTCTCATCCTGCTGTGTGGACGTAGTCCTATTACCCCAATAGTGCTTCTCAGACGGTAACAAAACAGCAATAAGAGGTCTCCATTAAAGACCCTGTGTACCAGTATGATTACATTCACATTGGTTTTCCCTGCATTACTATAAAAATCCCAAAGTCCTGGACAAAATAGCTATGTCAATATAAAAGTCACATGCAGGTCACGCCTCAGCACGACCAATGGATTTACTTTAATTAGATCCATCACGAGTGAGGACTTGAACATCCAATCCAGTTTCATATCTTCGTTTCTCAGCAAGTCCTCCAGGCTTCCTCGGGAGCAGTACTCTGTCACTATGGCAAAGATGCCACAGTCAGAGAAAAAGCCCAGGAACAGATTCACATTTTCATGACGCAGATCTTTCATCTGAAACAAGACCGTGAATCACAAGAGGCCAAGTCAGCCAGACATCTGCTCAGCAGCTTCTTTATATCATTAGGTGCCCTTACCATTCCTGTACTCCCAAACAGTCTTTCACACAAGGATGGGGAAGAGAAAACAACCTCTTTGCTGCTTACTTTCAGCTATCCTACACTCTCCTAAGCTTTGTTTTTCTTAGTCTGTCTGTTAAGACAAAGAAAGCAAGATAGCAAAAGAAATCTGAACAGAAATTTGTTTTTCTTTAGACAAGCTGGATTGGATCTTTCACTAGGACAAAATGGCTTCGCTGGGGTAAATTGAGTTCAGCATGTGGAGTCTTGCTCCAGCTCTGGTCTGATCTGGAAAGCAATACCATGCCTGGAGGATCCAAAGTCAACCCTCAAGGGTGCCTTTGGAGACATGCCCTGGTAAATTTATTACATTTATATGCACAAAAATGCCACTCCTATGTTAGCAGTAGCTGCCAACAACTAATGGCCTTGATTTTGGAAAATAAATGCGTTTGCTTGTCATTTAGTAATAATAATAAAATTGAAGACTAAAAGTAAACTTATAACAGGCATCTTAGCTGGAGACAGAAAGCAAATCCCAGAGAAATGCACAACAATGTCTGTGCCACACTACTGTCAACAAATATCACATGAAAATAGCTACCAGTACATCATCCTGCCCTGAGACAGGCGGGGATGATTTCCTCCAAAGCACTCTGCCTTTGTAGACAAGGCCACTTAGAGGACTCATTGTACATTCAGCATTGCACCGGCTTTGAAGTGTCAGGTCCAGGGTGGGGTTTTGCAGGCTGCTGACTCTGACACATGGGTTACTGCTAAGTTTTTCAGATGCAACTGTGCAAGACTGGTTGGCAGCCATGATGCATGATTCAATGGATAAACAGGAGAGAAGGAGAATAAAAAGACCCTGCATTCACAAATGTCCCCCAAGCAACCTTCCCTCCATATGACCAGTCATCCCCTGTTCCTACCTTCCTCAAGATGCTGGTGGAGCTTTGCCGCAGCTTGTGAACTGCTCCCGTCTCGAATTTTTTCAGCCACACCCAGTCTCCCTGTCCACAATACAGATGGGTGAATGATAGAGCAAGTCTCTGAGCAACAGCTAACATCAGGACCTAGGTCTGAATTCCAGACCCTTGACTTTGAAGTGGCTGGGGATTTTCAATGTTCTTGGCAGTAAATTCCTTCTATATTGCACCCGAATAAGAATATTCACAGGAAACCCTCAAAAAATGGGGCAAGGCAGGACCTTCATTTGGATCAGAACTTCATACCTAGAAGGTGTATTAGTATCTCATAAACAATGATAAATTGATTAAAAAGGAAAGTAATCCTGTCCAGAATTTTTTTTCTGCCATTAATGATCTAGTTTATTTTGCTCCGTTTCAGGAAAAATTGCCATGCCATCTTTTCGAAAAGCTGTGTTTTTAGGAAAGAACTGCTGGATGGGGTGAGTTTTCTTGGCCATTGGCTCTGCTTACACTCCATACAGTCCTATTGGCACAAAGGGCAATTTCATAGCCTTTATTCTGTGTATTTGGATCCTGTCTTGTAGGAAAGGTCCTTGTTAGAGATGTTACCACCTAACAGCCCTGTCTTGTAAGAAAGGTTCTTCACAGTGCCTTTACATGGGGCCATCTCTAACAGGGACCAGACCTGGCAACACTACATAGGCATGTCAAATACCACCACCAAACGTGACTCCAGGTGTCAGAGTGAGGATTGGGGTAGAGTCACCTTAATCACTGGTAAGTCGATGCTTGGGAGTGACTTACTTTCACCCTCAGGGTCTGTCAGCAGTATTCACATCCTGGGACCTACAGTATTACAGCCCAAGACTTTATCCGCTTGAGCAGCTCAGTGAACTGATGCAGTGGGAGAAGGCTGCATGAGGCCCCTACCTACCTCATACAAAGCCACGTTGGAGGTTTCGTGGGTGGCAGCTGTGCTTTTCAAGGAAAAGGAGCGTGTTACAGATTTCAGGCTTCTGCCATCAGCTGCTACGCTGTTTGCATCAGTCAGACTGTCCAAGGTCAGCCTCTGGAAGGCAAGGAAAGCAGGTGCAAGACAATGAACACCTCTGGATAAAAACTTCCACTTCAGCTCTGCCTTGGGCCATGCATTTTACCCATGCTAGCAACCTCTCAAATCCCCCAAACTTTCCACATCACCTCTCTGAATACCTCTAAAAGGCTCGTAAGATTGACCCTATTTAGTACCTTGAAACACTACAGCAGCACTTTAGGTGGTGGAAATGCCATGGCTCAGGGGAGACACCAGAGGAGGCAGGTGTCTCTTTGAGTAGGGCACGGGGAAGTGTGTCCTCTGGCATAGACAAGAAGTCTGTATCTGTGCCAGTGACCTAGGCAAAGGGATTGATCCACAGCAGTCCATATCATTGGCATGGTCCTGGGTATGGCTCTGGCCTGCGCCAAATAACATAGAATCATAGAATCATAGAATGGTTTGGGTTGGAAGGGACCTCAAAGATCATCTAGTTCCACCCCCTGCCATGGGCCGGGACACCCTCCACTAGACCAGGTTGCCCAAAGCCTCATCAACACTCCCCCAGGACATGCCCAGCTCTGGGCAGGAGCTAGCACAGGCCAGGAAAAATTCCTGATAAGAAGTTCAGATGAAGACACTTTGTTTTAGAAGATAAGATAGTTTAGTTATATGGACATGAACTATGCTACACCATCCAACCTCAAGAACAAAGAATAAGCCCTGGCTGTTAGAATAAACACAGCCAATGGTACTATTTTACATCATCATAACAGCTCTGACACTGCACGTGAGTCTAATCTGAGACTCAAAAACACTCAGCATATGTGAAATTTTCTGATATGCAGGGGAAAATGAGGCATGGAGAAGTGAATGACCTTCCCAGAGCTTCATGGGTATGAAAATACCACACAGCAAACCTGTCTTTGACTGTCCCACCAGATTACTTTCATGAATGGGAGGACTTACCTTTTTATGTAGCTCTGGGTTGATGAAGACGAGGTCATCCAAGGTCAGTATTATCTTGTTAGGTCCCCTGAATAGCTGGCTGTTCAAGATACTATGCCTGGGAGATTTGGAGAGCCACAGTTATCATTTTTAGGTAGGTAACCAGTTCACACCACCTCTGAGTCCCCCACATCTGGCTTCCCCGCAGTATAAGGAAAGTGCAGCATGTGGTGTGGCAGTAGGGATGGACATGGGTGAAAGCAGTACACAAAGCAGGGTGTCCTCACTTGGACTAAAATGCCCTGGGTCAAACAGCAAAGGCTATCCAATTCACAGACAACAAAAGCTATCATCTCAAAAGGTCTCATGACAAACAGACATCTTGAGTCAATCTGGTTGCAAATATGAGCCAACAGCTCTCAGGCACACTAGTCTTTCTCAGGGCTGAAACTGAACCACAGGTAATTTATAAAAGCTGCCTGGACACAAGTAACCATCAAAATGTGCTGGCTGAATCTCTGTGTTGTATCATGGTGACATACAAAGCACACAGCAAGATACCCCCTTGTAATGACTGCAAGCTCGTACAGAGGGAAAAGCTACAGGGGATGAGCAGTTTGGCGTGCGTGGTGTAGTGCAATGCAGCATGGAGGTCTTGGAAGAAGTATTGCTGAGCCAGTGCTCTTCCTCTTGGTCAGGAGTAATTAGATCAAGAAGAAGACTGTGCTGATTCAGATCTACTTCTTCCAGGACCTGAGCCAGATGGGTATCTATCACACACTGTGTAACACAGGACAAATGTGCTTCTGGCATCTCCACAGGATGCTGCCGCCCATTTTCCAAGGGATGACTCTCTGCACTCCTTGGTGGGCTACCAGATTTGCAGAATTGCTACAGGCAAGAAAGAAAATTCAGTAGAGTCGCCAGACCAGCAAAGATGCTATCTGTTCCTTGACTGCATCCTGCTATTTGCCCAGCTTCTCTTGAATATGCAAGGCAGGAGAGACCACAAGAAGAAATGGTGCCCTGTCAAGGACTACGTGTTCATGGGATAGTTCAAACAGGCTTATGGCCAGTTCATGCAAATCAATAAGAAACATTCCAGAGTTTCATTGTCAGTTTTTAGCTGGGATTCATCTGACACTAATACCCACTACTTGGCCATTTTAGCGACTCAGGGAAGAGGCAGAAGTCACACACCATCGTTTTGAACCCACCGTTTCAATGGATGTCAAGCACACAGCACACAGTATGTATGGGACAGTAAAAACCTCATCAAGTAGGAGGAAAGAAGAGAAAGGAAAGCTCCTCTATTGCCTTCAATGTCACATTTTTTGTTCAATGAACTTTGCTTACTCTACAGCAGGTGTCTGATCTGCGCATACATAAGCCTTTTCCCGATAAGGTGGGCCATAGGTTGCTTTTTACTAACTGTACTGTAGAAGGAATCCACTTCGCAAAATATCCATAGATCACCATGATTCCATTGCAGGTAGAACTCTGGGCATTTTAGAAGAGCATGGAAACCTTTTTGGAGTTCAGAGTGAGCCTTGGCTGTATGATCACAGGCATCACCTGAGATGGTTTTTTATAGTCTTTCTCTAACCACTTGTCCCAAGCCACCCAACTCAGCTTCATGCAAAAATCTCATCACTTATGTACTTTTCACCTGTCCTCCTGAAAACCTGGTTTAGTCAATCACATCCTCTCCCCCAAGCATGGAGGAAAGAACCCCTCTGCCAAAAGCAAAGCACAGAGAGTGGAGTGACTCATTTAAGGTCATGCAGCAGCTCCCTGGCAGAGCTAAGACCAGAGCTCCCACGTTTGAACTCAGACCATGCTGTGATTTAAATTTAGTTCCAGACATGCCCTTCCCTAACATAAATCATTGTCTGAGTCATGCTAGACTCTTTTTTTTTCGTCCCTTGCAGATGGTCATACATCTTTACTCCTGACTGAGCCTTCCCAAGCACAGTCTGGTACTTGTGGAACAGCTTACAAGTAGAGTGGGCAGAAAGATTGTCTTTTATTTACGTAATTGTACAGGCTGGTGGCCAAGCAATAGAGCAGGGCTTCAAAGTGCGGGTGGATGGAGGCAACCTCCTCAGTGCCTGCAGTTATGAGGTATCAGAAACAGCTGTGTGTTATAAGCGAGGGAACTGTTTGGGATATTGCTTGCTGGGTGGCCTTATATCATCTGGGTTTGGAGGGATGATTCAGGACTGGAGAGAAAATGTGTTTTTGGATGATTTGAGAGGCAAAGCTGGATGGGACAATTCAGGAACCCTGTTCTGCTGAAGTCATTGCTGCTGAGGAACTATGCCTTCTAATTTCAGTCTAATTTCACTCTAATTTCAGTCATGCACCATGTAGACATCAATAATGAGAGACAGATTACTCAAGAAGCCGGTTTGGAGCAGATTACCTTGGGTTATGCCCATAGTGTCCTTGCCAAAGAGCAACCCATAGCCCCTGGACAAATCAGTCCATGCTGGCTCATGTCCACCTTGGATATAGAGTCAGGACACAAGTGTGACCTATGCAATTGTTGGACACTGTCCCTTCCCCAGCAGACTACCTCATTTGCTCCAAAGATCCCACGCCCAGACCAACATATATGCAACATGAATGACCAGGGAGCTGGACTTCAGTAAAAAACAGGGAGTGAATCAGCTTGGTAATAAAGAGTTATCCTCATTAATTGCTCCAAACACTCTCCAGACATATTGTCTCTCTCTTTAGTACATGGAGAAAGTAAAGAGGGTCAGCCTAGGTTCTTCATAGGAAGCATGATTATATTAGGGACAGAAATCCAAGAAAGAATGATCTTGAATAAGAAAACAAAGACATTTAATGTGGCAGCCCACTCAGTCTCCACCCTGATGTTATTAAAGCAGACTCTGGTCATTGGTTGGTACGGCACACTTTGCACTTCCAAAGTGACAGTCACCTTCCTAATGCTTCAGAGCCATCACCCAGCTAATCCTTCCAGCAACAGACTGCAATGTTCTTCCACACCTGGACTGGTTTAAGGGTAAGATGGCTTCTCCTGAGACTGCAGAACCAATTACCACAGTGCTCAAGCCACTATCACTTAATAAATTGGAGAGATATGTGGATGGAGAGCAAAGACCACAATGAAACCTGCTATGTGTTCACATGGTCCAAACTGTCAGTTAAAGTGCAAGTCTCCCACAGAAGCTAAAAGTGGCACCAAATCAAATGCATACTGCAATCCTCACCTGATGAGAGAAGCCAGGCCCACAGCACAAAGCACCAGGGCAAATATCAGCATTACTCCCAAAATCATGACTACAGGCTCAATCCCTGTGCAGAGAGGGGAAAAGAATCAGTGAGTTAGAAAATCCCTTTGATTTAGCCAATAATATTGAAAATATCAGTATCAGACCATTAGACTACAAAGTCAAATATTCAGCTAGCAGAATGCTAGAAGACAATTTTTATGTGATGTTAATTTGTGAATATACAAATACTTACTGACTTTATTTACATGAGACTGCAACTACTTTAATTATTTATTTCTATGCACTTTTTTTTCCAAATGAAATCTAGAGCCTTGGATCAGTGGAAAAATGGTTTTTCTTCAAGTAAATAAAGACTGAACTCGCAGGGAAGAATTAAGTTTTAGAGGCAGCTTCTGCAAAGTTTGTAACTTTTGAACATTTGACCCTCTTCTCTCCAGGAACAGAAACACTGAAAAAAAACTTTATCATGTGGTACCAAACTGACGGCCAGTGTGAGTCACCAGCCCATCTGGGATTTTTCATTCCCTGCTACAGATTTCTAATGCTGAAAAGAGCAGAAGAGAAGGAGGAGAAGGTTGATGTTTTCCTCAATGGGGCCATCGTCAGAAAGTACTGGAGACAGACACTTTGCTCCTGAGTGTCTTTGCTAGAGAGCTAAGGAAAGCTGACGTGAGTAGATGAGCTAAATTCCAGTGGGAAGTGTTTGCTGTCTCTGTCTCTTCTGTCTTCTGTTTATTTCTATTTTATTCTGTCTGTATTCAGAGATCCTTAAACACAAACAACCATGAAGGAATTTGGGTTGATAAAAGGTTCATAACTCTGTGTCACGCTTGCACTTAAATCACAGGCCTTTTTGCAAGCACTGAAACCTAGAGCTTCCCAGTGAAGACAGCAGACATTTTTGAAAATTGGTGTCTTTTTCAGGAAAAGACAGACTATTTTAGCTGAAAGTTTTCTGCTGGGTTTGGACTTACCTTCTGCTTCAACCCAGGGCCCTGATCCCTGATTTTCCTCACACATACACTAACACAGGTTGCCCCGAGAAGCTGTGGCTGCCCCTGGATCCCTGGAAGTGTTGAAGGCCAGGTTGGATGGGGCTTTGGGCAACCTGGGCTAGTGGAGGGTGTCCCTGCCCATGGCAGGGGGTTGGAACTAGATGGGCTTTGAGGTCCCTTCCAACCCAAACCAGTCTGTGATTCTGTCATTCTTCTCCCAAGTAACAAGTGATAGGACAAGAGGAAACAGCCTCAAGTTGTGCCAGGGGAGGTTTAGATTGAGTATTAGAAAAAATTTCTTCACCAAAAGGGTTGTCAGTCACTGGAACAGGCTTCCCAGGGAAGTGGTTGAGTGATCATCCCTGGAAGTATTTAAAAGGCACATAGACGTGGTGCTTAGGGACATGGTTTAGTGGTGGCCTTGGCAGTGCCAGGTTAACGGTTGGACTTGATGATCTTAAAGCTCTTTTCCAACTTAAACGATGCTATGATTCTATCTTTAAAGGTCTCTTCCAACCCAAACCATTCTGTGATTCTATGATACTATGATTCTATACAAGTCACTCTGCTTTCATGCCCCAGTCTGGAACTAGCCCTGTATACCTCTATCTGAGAAGAAATCTGAGTACAGTAGAGTGGATACTTCACACCCATTTCTCCATCTCACAGATAGTGCGGATGTAGACCAAGGTCTCACTCCAACAAAGACCCAGCATTCTCCAGGAGGTGCTCACCTTGAATACAGGAATGAGCAAGACCACACCAATGTAGGCCAGGGTTTGTTCTTCATGCATGAACAAAGTCAGTGTTGCGGTCCCCGTAATAGCAGGTGACAGCAACCCAATGTTCATCCCTAGGAGGCAAGGAAGCTGCCAAAGACGCATCTCCCTCCAGAAGAACTGAAGTGAGTGTGAAGCCAGAACACATCCCATAAAGGTCTTGCACAATGCTAGATCCATGGAAAAGGAGGGATCGGATCAGCTTAGAGGCAGATTTGAAGGAGACCTTGTGCTCTGGACCTGTGGCCACTTGCTGGGAAACTTGTTAGTGAAGAGAGAATGAGCTTTAAATAGCCCAGGGGCATGGGTTGGTTTCTTGCTGGACAAAGGAGAAAATGCCTCCTGGACAAACCAGTGAAGTGTAGGGGTATGTAAATCCGATCTCACATCTCTGCATGGCCTTCTAATATTTTCAGACAGAATTCGTAACCCAGACCACAATGTGGTAGGAATAATGTGGAGTTTGTTAATGCTCTCTTCTGTATTCAATCAAGGCTTTTTTTTACTGGTGCTGTCTCCTGAGCTTCCTCGGGTAGCCCCCAGAGATTCTGCTGTCTGAACAAATCTCCTTTGAGAAAGAGCCTCAGAAAAATTCTTTTACTTATTACCATTGCATTTTATAACCCACAAGTGCTTGACCATACTTTAGAGGACTCTAAGGCAAGTGGTACTTGAAAGGCAGTGCAGAAAATCAAAGAATAGCAAAGGGTCTCTCTCTGATCATGCCCTTTGCTCAAAGTATGGACATTGTCACCCACCATGACATGAGGACTGTTCCACAGCTGGAAAATATACAAATCCAATTTCATTCACTGAAGCAGCACCTGATAAGCTGAGAGCAAGAGCTGGTTGGAGCACAAAATTCACCAGGGTGAACAAGAGACAGTAAAAGGACAAGAGAACTGAAAAATAAACACGCAGATAAACAAACCCTAAGGAACAGGAGATAGTGAAAGCAATACCAAAGACCAAAGCACTCATGTCAGTGATGGATGGGCCATTGCAGGAATGATGCAAAGCCTTGAGGAAGCTCAACCAGAACTTTATAACTAATCAGAAATGAAAGCAAGGTTATCATGGGATCATGGGAAAAAGCAAACTTACGGCATAATTGAGGGTATATGTGGGATTGTGTTAAACTCATTAGGGGATGCTTTAAGGGGACAGGAGGAGTATATGAAATTTCTTATGGGATGTTTAAAGGAAGGGAAAAAATGGGGAAAGGGAGGGATGGGCGTGAGTTGGGGAGGCTCAAACATGGGATACTGGAGGGGATGGAGATGCTGGTCACACATAAGCAGGTTGTGCATTTTTCCAGCCAAACCCTCTACCTGATCATAACAATTTGTCCTACCTTCTTCTTAACCCCTATTCCTAACTTTATTTTCTTGGGTGACTGCTCTCCACCTGCGTGTGATGTAGACTTCACATCAGCCTAACCAACAGGTAAGCTAAGAAGTCCTGGAGCCATAAGAACTCATGAGAGACAAGAAGTCTGGAGACAAGCTCCTGCAGAGGGTTTGAGAGATGGCTATGGGGGAATTACAGGTTTGGACCACCTACCAGAGGATGCATTTGTGTGTATGCAGGAGCTGGGGTTATGAGATCTGCTAGCAAGCTTGGAGCCTGATTAAGTGGTGCATAAGAACAGGATCAGTCCGTTTGTGTTGTCTCATGTTTTGGCAATGTTGATTGTGGGTAGTGGTGCCTGTAAACACATGGGTCTCCTGTATATATTATTCTGTCAATACTTGGTTGTGTCTGCACTCTGTGTGTGTGTGTGCGTGTGTGTGCACATGTACTGGGAGCACCTGCTCAGCCCTGCTCCTGGTGGACCTGGGGTCAGGAACCGCAGGAGCCTGGCAGCTTCACATCCAACCACCCTCCAACCCTAACTCCATACAAAAGCCAGACTGAGGCCTGGATTTAATTCCAGTCATAAAATTCAGTCTCTGAAATATTAGTAATAATAATAAATTACTGCTTCCTTGACAAATGCCTAGAGCTTTATGCTTTTGTAAAGGTGTGAACATAAAATCTGATCTTTCTAAAAATTAGTGGGATTTTTTCATAGACTGCAATGGGATGCTAAATTGCTACGCTTTTCCTAGTGGCAGTGAAAAATTAGATATATGGTAGCATTATATTTGTCTCTTCTGTAGCTTGCCAGCTGCTGTAAGATCAATATATCTCCAGTTTCCATAGAGCATCACTGATTTAAACCAGCTATGGCTGAGCCAAGGAGAATGTTTTTCTCAGCTGTTGAATAAAATATTCTGTAGATGTGGTTAATTTTGTCTGTTTAAGTCACATCCTGGAGCAGTAGGAGTAAATGCTTAGTATTATAAGTAAATATGTCAAGTGGAGGCTAAGTATCCTACCCTGAGATTTTGGCTTCCCCGTGGACTTTAAAACTGCACCACAGTTGCCTCAAATTAAAAACAATAAGTAAAACCAGTGCCCAGTCTCGCAAGCCTAGGAAGCAGCACAGATATCTCTGCCCCTGTATCTTCAATTACCACTTCTGCTGTCTACAGTAACTCAAATTATTTTGAGTAATTATTATCTTTTCTTGATGAGGCAAGCTCTGATGATCCTTAAAGCCGCATAGCTAGCTGGGTAAAGAAGCTGGGGTTATCAGGAGAGACGGTGAGAGCATCTGCAGTTGTGCAGCTCTCTTAGGCTGTCTTCAATGCAAATCCTCTTAGTGTCCTGTCCCTCAGAAGGACAGGGACATGATGCTGGCTGAAGCCTCTGGCATATATTGATTGCTATCAAAATAGGCAGATGTTGACTGTTAGACCTGGAAAACTCTTTCCAGCACACAACAGTAGCAACAACCTTATTGACCTAACAAGCAATAAAAGAGTCTTGTGGATCAATAGTGTGATCTCCGTATAGGAGTCCCATCACAAACGGCATGATAACTGGTCATATTTATATGAATTTCTGGAGCTAAGGGTTTCCTCTTTGGGGTGCTCTCCTCTTGACTAAGAGGAAAGATGATAAAATAAGAAGCATGGATCCAATGCCATTTGACCTTGGTTTTTTTTGTCTTTCTTACCTCCAGTGCAGAGAACATCTGGATCAAACCAACAGCTGGAGTCTGGCTTGGGTGGAGCTCCACTGGGAAAGTGGAAGGCCCGGCCTAGGGACTTCACAGAGCTTGAAGACATGTCAACCAAGTGGGTTGGGAAGAGCTGGTTCCCACGACCATCTGTGTCCAGTATCACGTAGTTGCTCAGTCCCTTCCCACAGCTGTCTGTCTCTATCCAGTAACTAAATCCAGGGAAACTGAAGTTTTTTGTGTGCTCAGCTATGTTAGCTCCTGAGATTCTGACTCCTTTCCTCCGAGCACTGTCTATAGCCATTGCCATGAAATAAATGGCATCATAGATTGTTCCAAAAAGTGGAGAAACCTAAAAATACAGGAGAAATTAAGGTCAGGATATACTGCTGCCAACCTCTGGCTTGAGATTTGTGGCAAAAGTTGTCCCACTGACTAAGCTGTAAACTCAAGAACTGAGACACCAGAGGCTCACAGAGTAATGGGTTTGAAGAATCTTAGGTTGAAAATAGCTCTGGATCAACCCAATATATGTGTGACTTTGAATATCTGTCTTTTCTTGTGGTTGCTTCCCAAAATACAATTTCAAAATCTTTTTAAAACCATGTAAAATTGCTTTATCATGGGAAGCGCCAAGACTCTGAGCCTGATGCTCAGCTGGCATTTTATCGCAGCCTGCCTCAAAACACTGCGCTAAAACATCTTCCACAAATAGCAGATCAAAGCCAGAGTCTCTCCTCCCTACCCAGGTAGGAAAAATATCATGCCCAAAGGATGGGTCCTCTCTGTCAGAACATTGTTTATTCCTAAGATGTAAAAACCACAAAGCAGAGCCACAGCAAACTTGTTCCCTGGGGTACGAGAGTCTTTTCTCCTTGCATTGCTCCCTTCTGTGCCAGACTTGACTTAGGAACCTATAACTTTACCCTCCCCTAAAAACACTCATGGTGGCTTTTGCAATCACATGATCATTGACAATTGGTAGGTGAAGAGAGATTATAGCCATACGCTCATGATAAAATGCGAAGTGTTTACAGTGAAGAAGCCTACGCTCATTATAGTTAACCTGGGCTCTCATTATACTGATGGGAAATAAAAGGATGATTTCAGGGCATGATTAATCTCCTCCTAAAGCAGACATCCATGCCTTAAAAGTATTTATAATTTTTGAAAGATCATAGTGAGATTTGAAGATTAGCTCAGCTGAATCCTGCATCTCTTCACCAGTATGACAGATTCCCCAATTCTTCTTGTAATGTTTGTAAGGTCACAAGTGACTTATTTTTTTATAGGCTACTGGTGACATTTAGATAATTGTGCTGACAAAAAATAACTTTGATTATAGTACTGAAAAGAATAAGGCAGCACTGATCTTAAGCATTTCCCTCTAGAAGCATCCAGTATTTCGTTTGTCTGTTGCATTCTCCCTCAAATTCTCAGGCATGCGGACATCTTATTCTGTTACCTTAAAAGCTCCACCGACTTTATCCACCTTAGGAGACACCTCTTCAGCTTGGGCCTACTGCATTAACATGTAGCAAACCAAACCTAAGCACCTCAGAGATTACCTCTGTCTCTCAAATTCCCAGCATGGTCCTGCAGTTGAACTAACTGTCAGTTAGATTGCCAGACATTCAGGAGGAATATCCTTTCCAAACGAACGAAGACCACATTCAATTTTCACCATGTTTTTCTCAAAATAAAAGCACACATTCTGGGTTGTCTCTCATCTGTACTTTCTCTACAACTATTGCTTGTGACATGTCTCCCATTACCAGGTCCCAGAAAAGCCCGAGAGAAAGAATATTTACCTGAGTGGCTTCCAAATCCCTGGTTATTTCACCACTTTCTTTAGCTTCCCTGAATGCATCATAGAAAGTCCTTTCTCCAGATTCCAGTGTGATAGTCAGCACAGCATCATATGCTTCGCGGAGCTTGCTGTTGTTATCAAAGACATTGAATGAGTTGTTTTGGTAAGGAAGACTGTACAGTAAAGTGTCGTATGGAACGAAGACGTATCTTCCATCTGCTAGTCCCATTTCCAGAGCTTTTGTGAGTAAGGTAGCCTGTTCCTCCCCTCCAATGAGCACAGAATGCATGCACAGGAGGATAACTGAAACACAAGGATTGCAGTGTTGTTAGTCCATATGGGCTTTTCATCACAAAATATCTCCCTCCCCCCAATAAAAGAGCTGTCTGCACTGCTGTATCAGGTCAGACTCTAATAATCCCCCACCAGTGTGATGTTCTGAGGAAGTTGGGAGCTACACTCATTTTGTTCAACTTCTGGAGGTCTGCAACACCTAGCAAAGGAGGCTGTAAGCATTACCCATTCCTGGAGCCATACAGAAGGAGGAGCGGAGAGAAATTTTAACAGAAGTGAGGCACAGGCTAACACGAGGGGAAGTCAGGTCCTGTGCTGCCATCAGCTGAGAGATGTACACTTTCCCTTTGTGTGCCCCGAGCTGACAGACACCACACAGTCATCAGCAGTGCCCAAGCTCCGCCTGTTCACCCTGTCACCATATATACAGATTTTAGGTTGGGCACTCGTTACATTTCAATATCTGGTCTATGCCTGACTGTCCCATAGCCTGTGTCTTTGCCTACCAAATGCCTACCAGTATCCTCACATCTGGTGAGGAGATCTGAAATACACGTGCATCTGTTTAACAGGCTGTCCATGGTGCTCACTGGTCCTTCATTAAAGGAACCACTCCTGATCTTTCATCCAAGAACACCTTTCAAAATTCAGCAGGTGAGAGGAGCAAAGTAGGGCAATAATGGGAAGGAAAGTTACAAAAGAGACCTGCCTCCTACTAAGCCAGAAGGGAGCAGGATCTCTAGAGTAGCTGTGGTCTCTCCTTAGGAGAAAAAGTATCCTTGGCAAAGTAGAAGCCGAAGTGAAGAAAAGCATTTTCAGGTTGCTGAATTACAGGAAAGAAATGGGTACTACTATGCAGTGATTCATCCTGTACTAGAGCAGAGAGCTTAAGCTGATCAGATTAATCATATTTGAAGAGGGACTGGATCTCACAATTGATTGTGAAAGGAGCCAATCATCTCTAATTCACACGGAGCGCTGTGATGGTGATGAGATGAACCCACCCAAGGTGGATTTGGTTTCAAGTATAGATTTGAGCACTGATAAAAATCCAAGTTCGTAGAATTGTAGAATCATAGAATCACAGAATCACAG